ATATATATATATATATATATATATATATATATATATATATATATATATATATTGTGTAGGTATACTCATAGCACTAACTAAATGTGAATATTACATAAATATTTAGCTCATAAAATGATCACATCACGTTTACCATAATAATCATCGTCATCATCTTCGCAACGAATAACAAAATAAATATTTACAAAAGTATTATAAGACTAAATGAAACACCTACAAGGTTGGTATACAAAACAGGCACCCTAACTAAATAATATATCATAAGAATATAGACAAAATATTGTATGAAAAACTAAACACAATGAAAATAACTAAGAGCTGCAGCATTTTTAACAGTCACGAAGCGCACGCTCCGTATGGTGTGAAATAGAGGAGAACAGGTGCAAATTAAGTTTGCGTATCTGATAATACCTCTGCTTCACTTGGCACCACCTTGGCACCGAATTCGGTTGTAAACAACTTAAAGCTACAAAATTTTCACGTAAACAAAAATTCGCAGTTATAATATAAAATATATAGGAGGGAGAATTATGAAGTATTTCATGCAAGTCGCATGCGAATGCGTCGTAGTTGTGTGAGTTTGAGTGTGTAGTTCGCTTGCATATATATATGTTCTCAGGGTTTAGCACATCCTGAATTCGATTAGTATTTAAGGCACATGGTGTGAGTCTCTCGTGTGAATATCAGGCTCGATGAGTTATTTATATATTAGGCCGCTTGCACCATACTTAGGATAAGCCAAACAGCTTTAAGGCATTAAAGGCAGTGGCCAAGGCGACCTCGTCCGGTGTTTTCTTCATAAAAGCAGCTATCATTTCCACAATTGCTGGCAAGCTGCAGGGCTCGTTGCGTTGAAAGGTGCAATATCTAAAATGTATACTTAAATATAACTTGAATTTCATTTCTTTTGACAACGGCTACCACCTGTGTAAATACAACAACGAACGTTCTGTAATGCCACTTTTTACATGCTGTGGCAGCTTGGATGCTCGAGTATTGGGATACATAAATGGAGCATCAGTTTCCACCAGCAGCCTGTCCAATGGCAAAGTTCCATTATCGAGCAAGCGGCGCACACCTGTATCAGATTTATCCTTGCACAAGTACCCAGTTAGGCTGATATAGAATCTGCGATCTAGATACTTGAGCGCCTCCTCAGCGGTGCCCATGAAACCTCTGATGATAACTGGCGGTAGATTCTCGAACCTGAATGAGCAGCAATGAGTATTAACACAAATCATAATATATATTATAATAAATATTTGTTCATCTTACGTGTCGAGTATTTCGAGTACATCATGTTGAGCCGATCGCTCGTGTATCAGCAGAGGTTTCTTTAGATGAATTGCCAAGTGCAGTTGCTTGGCAAATATCTGTTTCTGCACATCTGGCTCGGAGAAATCGCGCTGATAGTCCAAGCCACATGGACCAATCGCCACGCACTCCTGCGCCTGTGCAATATGCTCAAAGTCGAACCATGTGGACGGCTCCTCCACAATCGACTTTGAGTCGTGAGGATGTATGCCAGCAGTCGAATAGATAATGTCGGGGTAAATACGCGATAGGCGCAACGCTTCCTTGCTCGATTTGACCGAAGTGCCGTGTACCATTAGCTTCTGAACACCTGCAATATATAATGTAAATATTATACATACATACATAAATATATGGTTATGCTTGTAGTTAAAAAACTATGCATCGCGTAAAATTTGTTAATGCCAATAATGTATGAAATAGGCAGGTATCGAAAGAGAAGTATGCGTGCACTTTAGATTTTTATTTTCTTTAAACAGCGGTTAGTAGGCAGAGCTTTCACTGTACGTGGTGCACTAGCATACGAACATTCTCACATGCATACATAGCCATTTACGCAAACGCATGCACACATGTTGCTCGCTTATCGCCTGTCATCCGATTGACCTTCTTCAATGCGTATGTGTGCACTCTTGATGACTATTTGCCGCACCCAATCATGTCTTATTATATGTTGGTTATCACAATTTTAATAAACGAACCTGCGTCTCTTGCTCTTTGAACAACGGAATCCAGATCACGACTATACTTCTTGTTGGTCAAATTTGCGCCTACATCGATGACAATAAGGTTCTCAAAGCAATGCTTCATGCTGTCCTCGATGTCTAGTTGCTCTTCTGCTACTGGCGCTACTTGTTGTTGTTGGCGTTCCATAATATATGTATGTAGGTAGATGGTAGTGTTTGTACAAAAATAGCAATGACGTAGACAGACAGACGGACAGACAAACAAAGATGTTTTGTCTTTGTGTAATTTAATTAGCTTTCGTTAGCACAGGGCAACCGATGCGGTTATGCGCACCACAGAAAAAAAAATTGCTCTTTTATTGCAATTTATAATAAACAGTGACCAATTAAGCAATTAAATTAAATTTTACGAATTAATACAAAATAAAAACAATTCCCGACACGAACTACGACTGCTGGCAAATGATATCGATGATAGTATTGCAATCGACTATGAATTTTCTCCGATGGCTTTCGATGTGTGCACATATCGATATATACATTCATAAAAATATTTTAAAATTGTATATAAGCATTCGTTTTTTTTATCCTTTTGGTACAAAGAAACTTTTTAAAAGATTAAAGGCATCTGAAAGATATATTTGAGTATCGCCTTAGAATTGTTCTCCTATAGGCTTGATAATTAGCTCATGGATCTGCACATTGGGCGGCGTCTGAATACAGTAGCTGACAGCATCGGCCACATTCTCGGGAAGTAACATGGGCATTTTGGCCACCACCTCGGGAGAGTTGGAATCAAATATTTCAGTATCAACAACACCAGGACTTATGCTCTGCAGGAAAAAATTTGGGTCGTATTGTATTACCAAATAACTAGAACAGTACTCACCGTAATCTTAATCATGGTGCCTTTGTTCTGAAATTCCTGGCGCAGCACTTCGGTGAGTGCAGTGATGGCATGTTTAGAAGGTGCATACATGTTTAAGCTAAAGCCTGGAGCTTTCGGCACTTCGTGGCCAGCTATACTATTGATGATAATCACGTGCCCATCGTTTATTTTGCGACGGTTCATGGAGTTGAAGGCTTGTCGTGTGCACCAACTGACACCCAATACATTTGTATTTAATGTATCTCGCAGATCTTCCCCATTATCCTCGTCAGTGATGCGTACACGACGTATAATGCCTGCGTTATTCACCAACACATCCGCACCTCCCAGGACTTCGTCTATCCAGGCAAAAGCGTCGATTACCTGTTGCTCCACCCTCACGTCACACTGGTGGCCATAAAAACGACCTGACTGCTCAGTGGGCAGGTGTGCCTTCAGTTGCTGAAGTTTATCTAAACGACGTGCCAAGCCCACAACAACCATGCCCTTTTTCACAAGATCCTTGGAACATGCAGCACCAATACCTGAACTGGCGCCGGTAACAACAGCGACACGATTTATCCAGCGGTTCATTTTTTATTGAATGAAATTCGGATATTCAAATATAACTAACTTACAACACACTACAGACTATAGCATTTATAGTTGTTATAAAAAAAAAAAACGCTTACCTAGCGCCGATAACGATACTAGTAATCAAAATCTCCAAGAATTATAAACAGCTGTTCATACACTTGCAGAAAAACAACAGTACTATAGAAAAATTAAACGATATAGTTTTTGTTTTAATATATGTATTGATATATATTACATTTATTTCTGCTAATATAGGTGTATCTTTGGTGTTAGTTGTAGTTTATATACGTAAACATATACATATGTTGATATTAGATATATATATTTTTATGTATATATGAATGTATACTATTGATGTTATTATATATGAATATATGGTTATTGTATAGCTTGATAACATATCGATTCTTGTTTTTTTTTGTTTGTATATATTTTTGTTATACAATAATATAAAACAAAATTTCTCGTGAATTTATGTCATCAAACCTTTTTCTTTCTTCTAATATATCAATTAATTGTAATTTTTGAAACATAAAGTTCACTTTTAACTGTTAATGCATATAACTTATATATCTATAGCAATTTTGGGGTTGTATATAACTAGAGAAAAAATGTAAAAGAAAATGTGTGATTAGCTGGAGTACACCATGCAACGAACTTTTTGAAATCGATTCAGGACCTATCAGGATGTTTTCCTTGGTTTTCACTATGGTTTTAAACTTTTGTCCTCTTAGTTAAAAATTAAAATTAAATGGAAAAGTAATATAAATGCAATCAAAAGTATTATCTATTAAATATATTTAATTTGAATTTGAAAACTAATAGATTTAATAATATAAAACCCAAATGATCCTTAACTAGTTGCATTGTGTAATCGTAATAATAATATTAACGACAAGTTTGTATATAATTTATATATAAAATATATTATTATTATGGATATTTATTTATGCATTTGTAGCTGCATTTTAGGCCTGGGGAAATATTTCATCTTATCCGTTATGCTCGTTCACGAAGTGCTTATATTTTATATTGGTTTAAAATTTGTAATATATGTATATAAATACAGATATTACAGACATATATATATATATATATATGTATATATATATGTATATCCTCGCTTGATGTCGATTTCTTTTATCTATAGCATTAGAACGAGTTAGCTTCATGAAGCTTTGCATTTATATTCGTATTATATTGGGCATACTGAAACTTGAAGCTGTATGCTTATTGTTTTAACTAAATGCTTGATTAAAATAGATTTTGTCAAAAGCGTGCTACGGGAACAGCGCTATATATTTACTCTTTAACTTGATAAGAATATATATTTATAATATATATATTTTAGTATATACTTTTCATATATTTTCTTCTGTATATGTATAAATGTTTTGTTTACAGTTATTACTTGACATTTATAAAATTTTGGCTAACAATAAAATTGCATACTTTTCGTTATGTAAATGTATCCATATATATATATAGATATATATGTATGTTTGTAGCTTCATAGTTATATTGTATAGCTAGTTAGTCATTGTTTAAAATTGTTTTAGTGATCGTATTCGTTACCGGATTGGTGTTTAGAACTCAACGAACTATATTTCGATATTCGATATTCGATTATTGTTTTTGTGTGTGATACGTTTAGTGCGAATTTTCGTTCGGACAGCTTTAGTTACCGTTATCGACCCATGTTTGATATTTAGAGCTTAGCGAGTTTTGTTTCGATATTTGATATTCGATTATTGTTTTTATTTGTGATACGCTAAGTGCGAATTTCCTTCTGTTCAGACAGCTTCTACTGACTGTCTCCTCTCTACTTAACTGCAGTATGTAAGTAGACTTATCTAAACTGAATAAAATTCAAATCAAATAGTTGCATATTACTATTAAATGTATGTTTATCAGCTTCTACGTAAACATTTCCAATGGTCAACTGTTGCTGTTTGTGCGCTTTCCAATGTTTACCTCCATATATTTGATATCAATTCTATTCATGTTCTCTTTCTGTGTAAAACTCTAATAAAAATTGATTATTGTTGTTTGGTAGATGCATCTGTATGTGTACAAATGTGTTTCTATATATATGTGTCTGTGTATGCGTGTGTGTATTGCATATATATTGCTTATTCCAAAATCAATACAAATATATATATTTCATATATATAGATGCATGTAAATATATAAATTGTAAGAATTGTTCATACAAAAATTTAGTAGGTACGTTACTTTAGACCTCGGTGTTTCTCAAATTTGTTTTGTTTGTTCTTTGATACTTGGACACTTGCCTGTTTGTTTGTTTGTTTTTTTTTTCACTCTTCACTTTTCGTAGAAAATATTTTTACCCATATAAACGTTTGAGTAGGACTCCCCCAAGGACTGCTCATTAAAAATTGCCAACCCTCCAACACTCAAGTACATTTTTGTGTCTCGGTTTTTAAGACAGGCAGCATTTCGATATAAATAGCAAATATGACGAGTATAAACAATATTAAAAACTGCGTGCCCATACGCCTCATACCCAACGGTATATTCAAGAGTAGGGTTTGATGCACATATACATATAGTATATTATTTATTTTCTAATGTACTGATGTGAGTGTGTTTGTGTATATAGAACTATTGGAACACGTATAAAACATCTAATAACTATTTTAGTTTAGGTGCATTGCGTATAACTCCCTCACTTCCTCCTTTTCTATCTTTTGCACATTCTCTTTGGTATGTTTGCCTGACTAAGGGAGCCCGCCCGGATGTATGTTATACCCTTGCAGGGGGTCTTATCATGTGTTTCTTATCATCTGTATATATATTTATATAGACAGAACTGCCATAGGAACAATTACTCTCTTAAACACTCCGACTTGATTCTCTGATTTGCAGATCGCGTGAGTACATTGTATCTTTATTACATCCGATGAAAACAATCTATTGATAGTGAACTTTGATCAATTTCTTTTGCCATTTTTCTAAAATATTGCGAAACCATATCTGCATTAAATTGATATATCTTTATATATATCTTTTCATTTCTGCAAGGGTATTCAAACTTTGTCTAACCTAAGTTGTCTGCGCTTTCTCAGCTTGTTTACAATGTATTTATGTTTAGCTATCCCCGCTCATCCTGTTAACAAATTGGTCCAACTCATGCCCTTCGCCTCAGCTCACGCCTTCGACTTCTATCACAGTCCCTCTTCCTGCTCCCTCGCTCTCTATCCGTTCCTTCTACTGCTTTGCCATCTATTCTCCGCTTTCTAATTTTTACTGTTGATAGCTTATATAATATATATTTATGAGTATGTGTAGGTGAGTTATGTGTGAGTGGGTGCGTAGTTGTTTATTTTTCTGCTTCCTACTCATAGAGTTCCACGTTGCGTCGGGGCGAGCAGGTGCCATAGCTAAGCTGCGAGTCGGTCTTTTTTAGTATGGAGACATGATGTGTGGGTGCGTCTCCCGATCGATTGGTCATAAGGGAGTCCTGCTTGTGGAGCAGGCCACGTCGCTGGTCGGCGAACGAGATAACCGAGTCTTGTTTGACCAACTGATGACGGCGCGGCTCTGGTCGTTGGTCCACAAAGCTAATCACCGAATCCTGTTTGACGAACTTCTGTCGCTTATCCACCAATGAGGATGAGGCCGCTGTGCCACCGAGGCCACCGATTCCACCAATGCCACCGATGCCCCCGATGCCACCTATGCCACATCGACGGGAATCAATGGAAATTGTGTCCTGTTGAGTCAGTGCGGAGTCCACAGAACGTTCCTGAGCGCGACGCGCCTCCATGTACGAAACAATTGAGTCCTGTTTTGAGAGCGAGACCTTGCTACCATTACTGTCCTGCTGGCAGAGTAGGCGCCGATTACCGGAGGCATCGCTACAAGAGCTCTCTTGTTTAATGAGAAACTGGCGAGAGCCATGCGAATCCTGCTTGAGCAGCATCTGCTGTGACAAATTGCTGTCCTGCTTCATCATCAGATTATGGCGGCGCAGCGAGTTGTGCTCATAAATGTAGGAGACGGCATTTGTCTTCCTCAAGCCCGGACTGCTGGGACTCTTGCGTGAGCCATGCGGATGGTAATGCGAGGACTTGCGAGTGCTCGTAGTGGATGAGGCTATGGCCACATTGTCATAGTATCTAAGTGTGAGGAAAAGAGAGATAGAGAGTGTGAGTGCACTGTTGTGATCTAGATGAACCCCACTTGTGAACCCACCTGAGTCTTCCGCAGCAGCTGCGGGACTTAATGATCGCCGCAAACCCCCGTCTATATTTTTTGTTCACGGAATAGAGTATGGGATTGATGCAGCTGTTGGAGGATCCTAGCCATTGAGCGAGTGGCATTACCTTCTTCAGTATCTCGAACTCCTCCTGCGATATATCCGAACCAAATTTGATACGCGCGAAAATCACGTAGAGCGGCAGCCAGGATAATACAAACAATATGACGACGGCCACCAACATTTTGATGACCTTCACCTTGCTCTTCTGCTGCATGCGGTCCAGCTGAGCGTCCTTGGACAGTTCGCCAGGTATGCTGCGCGTGGAGACCTTGATCCAAATGAGCACATAACACAATGTTATCAAGGACATGGGCAGCAAATAGCAGGCCACCAAGTTGGCCAGCAGAAAATACAAATTTCCGTCGGTACCCGGTGGCCACACCTCTTGGCATAAATACTGCGGCTGCGTATAACTGGAGACGAGTGCATCCGAGAAGACCTCCTCAGCAGGCACCAGATCGAAGAACAGCAGCCACGGTATGGTGGTAACCAATGCGATGCCCCAAATGCCGATTATCATGATGCGTGCACGTCGCTTTGTCATCTGCTTCAATGGCCACCAGATGGCAATGAACCTGCAAGAAAGAATTTTTCAACAGCTGCTGCTGCTACGCCCACTCTATGCCCAACGCCATTGCAATTCCATTGCTATGCCATTCCCACTCGATCGGCACCTAGTCAAGGATAATGGCAATCGGGATGACGATGACGACATGCAAATATCTTAGCCTGATTAATTCGCACACGCAGGATGCCTTGACAGAGAGCAGAGACTGCGCATCCTTAAGCCTTTTTCTGCTGACTGCTCGACTTTCCAATCTCGACGGCTCCGTCTATTGAACTCCCGTCGCAACACGTGCGCCTCCCCTCGCTCAGCTGGAGCTGCCCCCATTTTTTACTTGGCCTGCCATAATGAAGCGTAATTTGAATAAGAGCAGCAGCTACTACAGCTGGGTGCGGAGTGGCAGTAGGGGCACCCAGGAGAGTGAGTTGGGTCAGGTCTCATTTTTGGCAGTTTTCATTCGGCTTACTGCTAACCACTTATTATGGCATCCTATTCAATAGACCAGCCACAAGTCTATTCAGAAAATAGAGAGTGCTGAACTACAATATATCTAGATGTGCACTGGTTGCAAGTCTATATATGTCTATATGTATATTGTACCCAAGATACCCTTTGTATATCTAGTACTCAAACACGAATATCAATGATGGACGATATTAGTAAATAAATTTGAAATGAAGACACAATATCCGGCAATTTTTTCATTTCATTTATATTTTCTATACTGGAAAATATTAATGAACATCGATATAATGGATAAATAACGGGAAGATCTCCTATTTATAAGGATACACATTCTTCTTCTGTTCCATACACTTTCAGAAAACAGTATACCCTTTTTGAACCATTAGCAACGGATTCAGGGTATAATAATTATGGGGCTAGGCCACGACTCCAGCCACAATTGCTCAACCTCTAACAATCTCTCCAGCCATCCTCTCTCACTGTCCCTCTCCCCGTGCTCTAGAACCCATTGTACGTTTTTTTGGCCACTTTGTTGTCGTCTGGGCGGGCAAGCGTTTTGCTGATAACGAACACAACGGTAATTCCATTAGGGCCCAGCCACAACTTTTCAAAGCCAATATCAAATTGTCATAATGTTTATTTATAGACACAACTATATACATATATATATATATATTTTTTTTTTCATATATATGTTTATATATAAAAGGAGCTAGATATATATTTAGATATAGCGATTGCATTAACATAATTTGTCTGCGGGATTTGGTTGCCAGTCTAATTAAGTTTCACGTGCTGGCCAAACATGGGGTCTTCTGACCGATCTGTGACCGGGATAACCGATTATATTCTGAGTTATAGCTAAACGGAAGACGACGTTTGTCGGGCTCCCAGGCTGCCCCGACTGAACAAAAGTTTTCACAAAATTATGCGCACAGCAAGTTATTTCCATAAAGAAAGAACAAATTTAATAATTGGCACACTCATTGCCATACACTCACACACACCATCACAACTCAAAGTTTTGTACTTTTATGACTTTTTCCCCTAGTGACAAGAAACTTGAATGTTATAATAGGAGAATATCTGACTAGAAGCTACCCTGTAGCTTAGAGATTCCCCTTTCATCATAATCTCTCTCTCTCTCTCTCTCTCTCTCTCTCTCTCTCTCTCTCTCTCTCTCTCTCTTCACATAAATTCACATTGAATAGAGATTGAAAAAAGAAGTATGAAATTGTAATTGACTGCTTTCTCTAAATACTTGATTTGCTGAGCTCCTTTCAGTCATGTTCTCATTGATAATATCAGTGTACCCATTTCCCATTTGCAGTTACAGGGTATTAGAGCAAAAGTAGACAAGACAGATGAATGAGAAATATTTTTTCTGCTGCTCACATTTTCGGGCAGCTCGCATGAAAATTGCGGCAAACACAAAAGCCGCACAGTCATTGGCATAAGACTCAAACCCACACACGCACACACGTTGGCTTATCCATGTGATAATATTTATGTTAAGGGCGGATGGCAGCCTGAGAGGCTGACCATGCATATCTATAAAACTAAGAGCCCTAATTAAATAGCATTGGCTAAGCAAGTGATAAGCAAGGATGTGCGCACGCTTGCGTCCAGGACATTGCGTGCTGATTTAAGTTTCATGTTACAGATAATAAATCTTAAATTTCGAATCGCTTTACGAGCGCTCGTAAAATACAAAGAAGTACAAAACAACTCAGAACGAGATGGACATGAAGCATTGGCTTGCGCTCCAATACGTGCGGGCGGCCAAACGATCAAATGATATAGTGTCCTGCTGCTCTTCTTCTTCTCCTCTCGTTCTTATTCCGCTGAATAATGACAACAGCAGCAGACGCTGCCTGCTTGAGGCCGCTGTGCCTGAGGCAGCTGTCGCTGAGAAATTGATATAAATGAAAGCTGCACATAAATGCGGCGCCTCTGTCTTTATCCTACTGTAGTAGCCCATAGCTCAGCCGCTGTCCTGCTATGCTGTTATCCAGTGGCACGGGCTGTGCCACACGTCAAAACGTTGTCAAAACGTTTTACTGCCACTTGATAAATCAACTGGCCACAGCATATCTGACTTTATGCGCATAGATTTGAGCTGTCAAGATATCTGTTGTATCTTTTTTATACGCAACACTCCTTGAGTTACGCTACTGGCGGGATTTATGGGCACCAATGGACAGCATGGGAAGCTGCATTGATAATTGACTGACAGCACCGTTTGATTTATTCCTCCTTTACTTTTCTCAATATCTAGAACTATCGATGTTAGCAGAAATTGACAAGTTTGCAGAGGAAGGCTAAGTAAGTTAAGCACTTAGACAACTGACTGACAATTATAAAATGGACAGACGAAACGCTGAGTTCTAAGAAGAGTCAAGTCTCTTGAGTGAAGATTTGTGTGTTCTGGAAAACTAGATTAGCTTCGTCCTAAGCTGACTACAGGGTAAGTTTTAGATGACCTTCTGCTGCCCAACTTTGCTTCAGTGCAGCAGGAAACACAAGGCGAATACTTGACGAAGAGAACGTGTCAAATGCAGCCCAAGGCAAACGCGACAAAATTCAACAAACAGTCTACATAGATAAAAAAAAAATGTTTGATTAATGCCAAATACGGACAAGGCGAGCTCTGAACTTGATCTTGAGACAGCCTCCGACTCAGACTCCGAGTTAGTCTCAGCCTCCGACTCTGGCTGTGACCAGTTTTCCTAGCCGGCTTGCATTGAGCTTTAGTCGGCGTTCACTTTTGCAATTGGCTGCAGTCAGTTCTCTCTAGCTGCTATAAAAGCAGCACTCGAGTCTCCGATTGACAACAGTTGCAAATCATTTGCTCAGCTTAACAAATCCACCTGAAGCACAACAACAAAATCACATTCAAAATGTTCAAAGTTGTGAGTATATTGAAAAGGAGCTGGGGCTCATGGTGGAGCTGATCCATTACCTAACTACGTCTCTCTCTTTTGCAGCTGTTCGTGCTCGTCGCTTACGTCGCTGTTCAGGCCTACGCCCATCCGGGAGTAGTCGCCGTAGCTCCGGTAGTGCACACACCAGTGGTCGCTGCGGCTCCCGCAGTGGTGCACTCACCAATCATTCATCACGGCGCCCACTCGGTGCACTCGTAAGTAATCAGATATAGAGCAGTTGACTTGAATGTTACATTAATCTTTTAAAACGCCCACACACTTGTCCAACAGCCACGTTGTGCATCATCCCGCCCCTGTGAGAGTGGTGCATCCAATCGTCGCCAAGCCTGTGGTCGCTGTGCATGCCGTGAAACCCATTGTGCCCCTAGTGCCAGTGCATCATGCTGCTCCCGCTGTTGTAGTACATCATTAGAGAGCCTACCCGATTCGCGATACCCGCTTCTAGCCCCTAACCCATCCCGACCCATCTCCCAGCCCATTCCAATACCACAATAAAGGTTCACAGCCACGTAAATTTTAAGAGTTGTCATTTCTTTGTTGGCTCACTTACCTGTCTAGCGACACGGCAATTAAGCTGTAAACCGAAGCCGCGACCGAGACACCCTGTATGTAGGGCACAAACTTACACATCAGCCAGCCCAGCATCCAAGCTGCAAGAGAAGATATAAATAGTTAAGGAAGGGGCGCTTTTATTGAGCTTCAACTTTGCAACAGCAGGTAAGTTGATTATATCCAACTGCCGTATACACGCCCACGAACTAAGACCTCGGGAAAATAGTATTTTACGAGCGAACACCTTTCGCATTTAACCTTTAAACGTTATAGAGTATACTCGACAGTCTAAAGCCCGCTCATGCTGTGAGAATTATGACCAATTTTTTTAGATAAAACGAAAAACCTGATTTAAGTTGGGCAGGATTATTCAAAGATGAAGAACTACTGTATCGGGAAACTAGAAATGATCAAACATTTGCTTAAGGCCTTTTCTCTTATTGAAGGAAAGAAAATATTGTTCAAAACGAATATACTCTGCCTAACATATGGGGCCAGCATCAAAATTATGCTGAGTAACTTTCGGTCATGTCTGTGTCTGTACTCCTGTTGTTGTCCTAGTCGCGGCCGTGGTGGCCGTGGTCATAGTCGGAGTCCTGTTTGCGGTCCTGGTTAGCGTTCAATGCATTATGTTTTTGTTTGTTTTTTTTTCCAGTCGGTCGTCCACGTCGCCGACATCGTTGTTTGCTGACTGAGATTTATGTTCTGCATATCATTCATAATTTGGTGACAAGTCTCAGATTGCCAAGAAGCCAGCATGAGGCGTTGTTTGCCAACGATGCCAAAAGCACGCAGCAGGCATCCCTTAGCTGCTGGCCAAGTTAATTTGTATTCCCTTTATTCTATTTGATGAAAGATGGAAGACATGATTCGCACTGTCTATAAATACGCACACATATACATTGACAGTTAAAGAAAATACACTCGGAAAAGAAGAGAGGAGCAGTTCACTTAAATTGCGGTTTTCAAAATAAGAAAAGAACAAAACATTTGATAAATTAATTATATAATATCTGAAAATAGACTCAAATAATTATTCATTGATGAATGAGTTTATTTCGATATATTCTCTCTTTCCACTTTCTTTGACGCTCCATCTCACTCTTTCAGTCACCCACTTATTGTCTCTCCTTCGCTCCGCTATCTATCCAAGAGAATGAAGAGTTATTCAAAACCAATCAATACTTTATACTAGACTCTTTCTTTCAGTGTATAGTGGCTCTGCCTTTGGCTGTTGAGTTATGACTTGAGATGCCAACAGCAAATAACTTAGTCAGACACAAAAGGCTCTAAAATACACACGCACACACGGAGGACTTCAGGAGTAGAGAGGAGGCGAGGGGTGGGGAGGGGACGGCAGGCGAGAGGCGTGGTAAGGAATGTTGCCCTGTGGCACATGTCATCAAGGTTGATGACAGTGCCAAACGTATTTGCGGCATGACATATCGAATGGCAATTAAAAGGTGCTAATAACCACAAGAACAACCGCATCATTAACTCCGTGCGGGAGTTCAATGCACCAGCCTCAGCCTCACTGCTGACCCCTCTCTGAACCCAGCCACACGAACACAGTCAGGGGTCAGAGGCATGCTGCGCAAATATATGCTCATATGTGGCTTCTGTCTAATTTCCTGTCTCGTCCGCCTGTCTTATCTCGTTTCGGTATATTATGCATACGCGCCGTGCACCGCCGCGTCGAGCCAATAATAAAGCGCAAAATTTAATGTGATTTGGCACATAAAAATATAAATATTATTATTATTTCTGTGCGCTTTGTGTACGCTTTGACCAAGTCAACACACTCCAGACGACCACTCAAAAGACATGAGAACAGTTGGACAGTTGACAGCTCTGGACAGCAACTTAAATAGATTTTGGTTACTTTTTTCAACTCTGATACTCTGTAATCCATGCAGTGCAGCCAACAAGGGGTACGATGACGATTCTTTATCTTTCTAGTAAACCGATTTCTGCCTGCATTTAAACCAATTACAATCGCAATTAAAATTACACTTGTAGACATGAAATTGTTTATAATGTATCCTATACATTATTGTAATGGATCAATATATGCTTTTAAAGAAGGTATCTGCAAGTCGACCACTTTCACTTCTTTTCAACTCGATTCTATTTTTGCAGCTTCAAGTGCAACAGTCTGTGATATATCCAAGCTATATCCGTTGCTATTAATATTTAGCTATTTATTTTGTCGCTGTTCTTCGGTTTTATATATCGCTTACACAAAAGTTTGTCTTCGTTCAAAACTTTGCCTAGAAGTTTCAATGTGAACGCAATCAAATTGAGTCCAGTCCGAATTAGTGAGCTCTTCTTCCTCTTACCTCCAATTGGCGGCATATGCTGCTCGAACTTTGCTTGAAGTTTGTATTTGTAGGCACTAAGCGGATGGCCGCAGAAAATATTGATGGACTGCAGCTGATAATTCCAATCGATATTTACAGCTTATCACCACGACCTTCGATCCTGGATGGATGCACTCTGACCCGCAGGCAAATGTCAAACAGCTAAACGCAAGCCAAGGCCTTAGGTTTGCTGTTTAAAATACTCTTTCGCTAAGGATATACAAGTTTTGACAGACATTATGTAACGTGAAGGATTTTTAATTAAAATGTTAAGTTCTGGGAATTATCTCTTTAAATACCCTATATGAAATTGTGATGGTTTACTAACCATTATATACTTATAATTTTCATATTCCTGCACCAATTTTAGACTGAACAATGGAATTGGAAGAAAGTGAAGAGTTGTTGTATATGAACTTAAAAGATATTTATAACTGCCTATATAAGGGTATTCCATGCTTCGTCATTCCATAGGACTACAACTTTTGTCTCCTTTTCTGAGCTATGTCAGCGCAAAAGTTAGCGTGAACTTATATCGTAGGCCACGCTAATGGGATTTGGTTTTGCATTGTTTGCGACGCTTTGCTGATTTTTGGTTTGAGTTCTGGGGATCCGTTCTGGGGCCATAAAGTTAATAAAATAATCGGGTGGAACAAATCCGACAATGTGGCTCGTCAAGATTTCGCTTCGATTGAAATGGGCGTGAAATATCCATGGATGGGCGCATAACACTTCAAGAAAATGCGTTATTGTTATGTTTATCGCTGCTGTTGCTGCTGATGCTGCGTCACGTCCTGCGGTGACTGCTGTCACTTGGTCCTAAATTGAATTGAAGGGGCCGCAGGACTCAGGCCAGCAACTAGCACCAATCGAGTGCTGTGCCACGGGCAGCACGTAGCACCTAAATTAAAATACAATTGGAAAGTGAAGAAAAATTACTTCATCATAAAGAGCAGCCGCATCGGCATCAGCATCAATAGCAACGACATTCCAACAGGGCCCTGTAGCCACGTTACGCATACACGCCGTGGGCCAAGAATATCGCAAATCAGTCGTCGCTATTTAATGAAGTAACCAGCAAATATGACTTTAAAATACGTGACTTGATTCCACCAACGCGACGTGGGAATCGCACTGTCAGCGAACGCTTTATATTTGTATGTATCAAATTTCAAATTCGATATTCAGAAATATTCTATTTCCATGATTTCAAAGTTTGTCGGAAATCAAATTTAATATTTGCAACTATTCTTTGGGAAAGCTATTGTTGCTTGAGTACCAAGTACAAAAATTTATGCTGAGTCAATCGTCGCTTCAACGAATGTCATTTGCTTGAAATTATTATTTATTTAATATGAATATTCACATATTTTTTCTTGTAAATAATGTTTCGATATGGCTAATGTCACCCACGGCGTGCGGAAAGACGTACCTTCTATTCCTATATATACCCGAGAATTTCAGGCTCCTGATAGGGTTTGTTTCCGAGAGGCGAAAGCCTCGTTGTCGATAACAATCATTATTTTAGGGAAGTTGAGCCCTACAAATATTTATGCTTAAAATCCTTACTAAATCATATAGCTGTAACATTGCGACTGCTCAAATTTGCATGTATTCATTCTTAATATATGTAATTTACTGAAATCGTTTCATTGAATAGTCTTAATCTCAGATTAGACATTAGCTTGACTAAGGACTCTCCTTTTATGCAAGCTCTCGCAAATTCAGTGCAATTTGTAAAGCACTCACGTAATGATAAGAATTTGGCATTGCTAATGTCTAAAGGAGTTGCACAATTGCCACATAGAATCCAATTAGAAAGTGCGCTAAGGACATGCTGGTGTAACGCCTCGTCTCAAGGTAGCATCGCTCGGCAAATCAATTCAATTCGCATTTTATTGGTTTTTCGAAACACACATAAATAAAGGCTCAGCTCAGCCCAGCCCAGGTAAACCACACACACACGCATACTCACACTCACACTCACACTTACAGGCACACAAAAACACACACTCATAACAGTAAGCGAGTTTAACCCTGAAGAGGAAAATATTTAGGTCAATTCATCCAGCCAGCCGCACAGCGAAAAGGTCCTTGAATGCAAAACAACCTTCCATTGCAGTGCTGAGGTGTGCTTAGGTAATGATAGCTTCAAAGCGTAAGAGACCCCCTTGAAGCCCAGAGTCGTGTGTATACACGCCTACATACATATGTATGTATGTATGTAGGCGATAAGATGTAAATAAACATCATGCCTGTTGACCAAATTCGGTATTGGTAGTGGAAATGGACGCTCTCTGAGCTAAACGTCCTTTCGGCCATTTGCTTTAACGTGCGGCAACTTTTCACAAGTTAAAATGCCAAGCAGCCAGCATTCAATATGTGCCCAAGGGCTGTCGCAATTTATTTATTGTTGTTGCTACTTGGGCCTATTGCAGTGGCAGCTGCGCTTGCCACTGGGTCTGGGTCTGGGTCCGTGCCTGCCCCCAAGCCCAAGTCAGTACACACACACACACACAGACATTCTTACACACACAAGCAAATACGGAGTGACCCACTAAGCGCTGGGCAGCCCGCAGCACCCTGCGCCTATGTTGAATTTGTGAAATTAGGTCAGTTCTGTGTCGATGATCCTTCAGGCCACCCCAAACGACAGCCAGTACGAGAACGAGAACGACAATGAGAGCGAGAGAATGGGAGAGTGGGTGCCAGAGAGACAGCGCGAGTGCGCACTAATACACAGTGCACCACACAGACACAGACACAGTACACACACAGCCCATTCAGTTTTTCAATCGTCTCTTGCCTTTCGTTTCGTTTACTATACCAACTCATCCCCTCTCTCACAATCACCTTTGCCCTCTTTTCCTTTCACTCTCTATCTCCCTCTCTGTCTCTCTAGACACCTTGGTGCATGCATGTCTTCGGGTCGAGCAACATTTTCTAAGGCGGGCGCATTTAATTGGTAAACGTTGGCGCCAGCTGCGAGCCTCCAAATGCGACCAGGTGAATATATGTTGGGGTAGTAGCTACCACTAACAACCAAACAGGTGGAGTAAAGAAGGGGCTACTAGGGTGAGGTGCGGAGCGCAAGAGTCATGCCCTGACATGTCAGGCATTGCAATCACTGTTTGATTTCTGAAGGATTTTGATTTTGATCATTTTTTCATGTCGGCGCCGATTTGCATGCAATTTCTCAGCCGCAAAAACTTTGCGACAATCCATTTACCCAGTTGCCATATGACAGTTCACACATACATGCTTAGAGTCCCCACACACACACACACACACATAAAACAGGCAGATAAGTTGCAAAGTGATGTTAATTTATATAAAACAAATATAAATATAAAACAAGAACGAAAATATAAAAAATATACTTACGTTCTATAGGTATTCCAAGATGAAATAGTCTAATTTACGTAAATTATTTTTATTGCTTTTACTTCAACATAATTATTTTTCATTAATAAGTTAAGATTAAAATTATAAAACCAAAATTCCATATATTCGACTACAATGTATAATGGCTTTACTGTAAAATAAATAAAAGGACATAAAATCATCACGGAGGTCGACCTCCGTAGCCGACTTTCGCCCTCAGCCAAACTACTATCAAAGTAAATGATTGCCATTATAAAAGGCAAACATGTTCCTTTGCTGAATTTGACATGCAACATGGCAGAAGTTTTCAGTTAGATAAGAGCGAATCGGATACGGTTAGATGAACTCATTATAGTCGGACGTACTTCGTTTCCCATATGTACTCTCAAGGCTATAAAAGCTGATGGTAATTGCATAACACTGAGTTCCATGTACACTCCGAGGATGGACGGATATATGGAGTTGGGGCAGCATGTTGGCAGAGAACCCATAAAACACGATGATAATGCACGATAATATTTCAGTTTCGATTACTTCATTTCAGCAGAAGTATTTTGCTGGCATTAGCATTAAGAAGAAAGCATTAGGCTCGACAAATTGCGCATACGCCACGTGTCGCTGGCGTGGGGCCTAATCCAAGTGTCGATTAATTGCTAAACATAAATCCAGTTAATATGCGTGGCTCGCAAAAGTACCAAATAAAGGAAGCGAAACAAAAGCAAATGAAAGAAACGAAAAAAAAAAGCAACCGAGACGTGCTAATGAGAACCAACTGAATCTGCGCATTTGTATATACATACATATGTAGGTATGCATGTATATTCTTATATACATATATGTATGAGTTCTTCTAACTATCCCATCAATCAAAAAGATAATCAAACATTCATGGTATACAAAGTATACGTATAACGATTATAAAAGATAAGATATTTTCAATAGATCTGTAATGTTCGTAATCAATCAAACACTTGGATGTTCAAATGTCATAATTGAAGCTTTTTAGCTTTACTATCCGCACTCAGTCGATTTATGAATCAGTCTGGGCAAGTAGTGTCTTTGCAAGCCAATCAATCAGACCAATCGATCAGTCGGGAAATAGAGAGCCATGCATATAAATATGGTGCAGTTCAATCCGAATGTCTACTTACGCACAAAGATGTTGCCGATGAGCGTGGCGGGCAGGCAGAACACAATGACCAGGATGTCGGCAATTGCCAAGTTGACAATGAAGTAGTTGGTGACCGTGCGCATACGAGGAGCTCTGAGGACGACGGCGATGACAAAGCTGTTGCCGATGAGTCCGACGACAAAAACCACGATGTAGGCCACACAGTAGACAATGGACATGGCCAGCGAGTGGCGATAGAGCGGATCGAAGCCAAAGTCCACACTTCCGTCCAGTTGCTCCCAGCGCAGAATGCTGTCGTTGTACGACTTGGTGGCAGCAGCGGCTGTGATCAGGCTGGTTGTAGCCGGCGACATGTTCAGCAGGCTGGCATAGTAGGTGGATGAGGTTGCATCGTTGACCAAAGCCAAATGGGTAGTGCTTGTTGCAGCCGTTGCTGATGTTGCTGATGTTGCTGCTGCAGCTGCTGCCACTGTTGCTGTAGTTGTTGTTGCCGCAATGCGCGAGATTAAGGAGCTGGCAGCGGGCGCCACTGTGGCCGTTGCCGTTGTTAAGATGGTGCCCAAAAGAGTGTCCGTAATGGAGCCGTTAGTCAATTTAATAGCACTCGATGTGCTCGACAAGTTGGCAGCAAGAACAATATTGCCGCTGCTGCTGTTGTTGGAGCTGCTGATGTTGCTGGCAGCCTCATTGAAATTCAAGAGATTTTGCAAATCCAAGAAATTATGCGTGAAATTATTAGCGCTGGCATTCGAGAGTAATTCACTCTGCCAGTACCTAACCGCCTCTGCCGTGGGCATGGCATCTCTGCTGTCAGTTATTGCTGCCGTTGTTGTTGCTGCTGCCGTTGCTGCTGCCGTTGTCGTCGGCGTGTCGGCAGCTATGTGGCTTCTGTGCTTGCGTTTGCGAATCGCCATTCTCCAGCTAAATCTGGCTCAGATTAATGTCTATGTTCCTTAACTATTCCTGTTCTAGTATATGTTGCTGTTGCTGCTACTTGCTGTTCTTTTTATAAAAACTCTATAAAATTTGCGTCACTTGGCATTTTGTGCTCACAAAAAATATATGTATTTATATGTATATACGTATTATAAATCTTTCACTCTTCCAGTTTGAGTTTTAGTTCGGGTTTGAGTTCGAGTTTGAGTTGTAGTTGGGCTCTTGCTTTGGATATGTAGATATTTTCGTGGCTGTAGCAAATTATACAACATTTAATTTAATTCAAGCACAACGAAGTATGTTGCATAGTGTGTGGCATAGAAAGGATACTCTGTAAAGGCCCTAGAAAAGGGTATCATCATTTGTATATAGCATAAGTGTTTCTGAACGATAAGAACTGCTCAGTGGATAATGAACTTATCATCTCGATATTATTTGAAATACATGTATATCTCCCTTTTGATATATGTCCGTTTCGGACTTTTAAATGGGACCTTCTATAACTATGACATAAGTAAATCCAAAATATTTAATTTCTTAACAATTCTAAGTTTAAAGCCGCATTATTTGGTTTAGTTTTACCCTCACTTTCAGTACTAAATTATAAATTTCTTAATATCGGCAGATATCAAATGATTTATTAGTCATGTGTTTTAAAATTGAAATCACGAAATTTCTAATGAAAATATTTCTCACTCGAAGCCTTTTGTTGGGTAACTTTTAGCTGTTTATTCTCCATAAAAGCTTTTTTAATTTGTGGGTTCATTGTTGTTGTTTTTGCTGTTGTTTTCGCCCGCCAAGGTTGATATGCAGTTTTTTGTGCAAAATATTTGTAACTGCATAATAAAGCTGCGCTTGCACCAATAAAATGAGTTGTTGTTGGTTTTGTGGTTGCTGTTATTGTCGGGTATTGGGTTATTCGGGTTGTTCGTCAGCTGGCGTTGCCTTGAGCTGGCATTACGAGTGCCCCAAGGACTTGTGTGCATATTTTAGATAAGGCCAAATGCTGGGTGCCCTGGACTCAGTGCATCTCGCAAGGTACCTTCAGTGCCCCCCAAAAATGTGGGCGTGACATAGGCTGCTGACTGAAGGAGACGCAGACGGAGGCTGAAACTCAGGGACAGGGACATGGCCACAGCACGCACACATGCGCAGCAACTGTTATTAACTAATTGAATTGTGATTATTCTTGTTGCACTTTGACCTCAAACGAGGCGTGCCAAATGTGAAGAAAGCAGCACCGAAGTGGACTAATAGCCGAAAAATAATAGAAGTGCCAAAACCACGAAACACTTTGATGAAGTGCCAAGAAAGAACAAAATAAATAGAAATAACAAATAAATAAATGCTGAAATTTTATTCCGATCATTTTTTCGCTTCATATATATACATATACATATATATATATATATATTTATTTATTTTTTTTTTTTGTGTTTCAATTTTTGCGTTGGGTGTGCCAACAGGCGGACAATAGACCCATTAACGGAATGCCAATTCGCTCAGCGTAAAAGTGATTCACATTAAAGTGCGCTTATGCGCTGTGTGCGTATGTGTGCGAAGAGGTCCTGACCGTCCTGGCAGTCCTTGCACCAACGACAACGACAACGACAATAACAACAAGCTGTTGACAAATCGTTTGCAAGCGAAGACCAACTAATTAAGACGCAGGCTGCATTTGGGCTAAAGTTTAACTGCAACACTTTACAGCTCTAATACAAACAATGGCACACACTTAAATTGGCATACACAGACTCCCACAAACACCGCTACACCCAAACAAACGCACTCACTCACACACACTCGCGTATTCGTTTCCGTGTTGAACGCTCGACCTTTTTAATATTTGTTAGCTCGTTGCAACGTGAGTCGCGCGAGCTGCTCACGGCTTGGTGTCTGGTTGGGCACTGCTGTAAATGCTGCACGGCCAGCTCGCTTTTGTGGCAAGCAGAGTTCTATCTGCCACACACACATACAGAGAGACATGCTAACAGAGCCGAAGTGGAAAAACGACTGAATGTAGGTCCCTCTTGTCAAACCGCGCCCGCCGTCAGCTGCCAGCAACCTGTGTAAACGCTCAAATACGAGTAGGTGTGCGTGTGTTTGTGTGAGTGGGTGTACGCGCGTGTGTGTGGGCGACTTGTTGTCCTTGTCGCCTTTATACACTCAAAAAATGACAAGTACACAGATGCCCGAATATCCTCAGAAGAGTTACAATATACTTATGAAATAACAATAATTTCATTTAAGGCGTTTTGAATACTATCATTGATGAGTTGAATTTGAGAGTTGAGGGAAAGATTTTGTGTAGAGGGTATCTAATACAAGAAGAATATAGTATTGTATAACAGAAACCGACAGTGGACGGGTATAATAGTTAAGTGATTGGCTGAGCGCATTTCAGACTATCAAAAAAACATCCTTAACTGACATTTTTGTCAGTGTATAAATTGGAAATGGCCCTCAAATGCATTGGCAGAGTTATGCTACAACAGTTGTTGTTTTTCTCTAGCTTTCGCAATTCGCAGACTCGGAAAACATACAAGTTTGTAGGCTCAAAAATTGAAGGACTACATTTGGCAATAACCAAGGCTAAACGATTCCAAAATGTCAGGGAACGCGCGTGAGAGACCCTGAGCATAGCTCAGATGGCACAGCAAAACACTTTACTTAACCAGGCTCTGTGCGTGGCTCATAATAAAGCTTGCTGTTGTTGCGGCCTATTCTTTGGCAAATACGTTTATTATGCCATTTGAATGTTTTCCCACTTTGTGTATGCGGGGATGTGGCTATGTGTGCGTTGGACTCTGTGTATGTGGGTGTGGGTGTGTATCTGTGCGTGTGTGTTTGTCAATTTCTATCCAAATTGTTGCACTGCCGCAGGAAACAAAACAAAATCAACAAGCCTGGCAGACTGGCAGACTGGCAGGAAGGCGGCAGCGACAGACTCTTGCCTGCCATCATTGCAGTTTCACACGGGCGCCCATGGTCTATACGCAATTTCCGAAAGCTTCTGTCTTTATCATTGTGTTTGTCGTGCCAACTGCCGTTATGTGAATGGGTTCCCTCCATGGCGAACCGTAGCGTTATTGCTGTATTTCCTTTAGCCAATGCGTCTTCCGCCCAGGCCATTCGCATAAGTTGCGTAAAGCTCATTTAAGCCTGGGTCAGCAATTACCTCCCCAACTCTATCACTCATTCTCTCCTTTGTTCCTTCTCTTGTTTAAAGTTTAACGGCAATTGCGAAGTTTCAGTTTTGTTTATATTATAGCTTATAGCTCAAAACCATTCACTCAATATGAGTGAGAGTAAAATTGAGAGGTTGTGAATGAGTAGGAGAATGAGAGCGAATACCCACCCTTAATGAAACGTTAAGCATAGGATGCGCGCGCGCTCTCTGCGAACAGCTGGCTTTCCTGCTCTACCACGCAAAGGTTCAAAAACCTTGTGGCTGGTTCAATACACACAAACAATGCGAAACTGGCAGCTACACAGTGCGAAAATTCATTGCAAAACCAACTCATTAAAACATTGAAGTAGTACGAGTATTGAGTAGAACAACTTTGGACGCATGTTCCATTTTCAAATCATAGGAACAATTGAAACCCACAATATTTTATATTGAAATTTTACCATATATACTTTTAAACTGTGTTAGATCGGATATCAAAAATTTCTAATGTAATTCCGAACAATTTTATTGACATTAAATGAATTGTACTGCATTGCTTTAAGAATTCAACTACATTATTTTATATTTAAACCTCGTTCTAAGGCATAACATAATTAAATTAAAAATCGACTACACATTTCTGGTAATCTTCACTATACTGACTACTAATAATTGCGAACAATTTGAATATAAACATTTGATATTATTATTATATATTATTATTATGATATTATTATTATTATATTATTTTTTAGATTTTTGCATACATCAAAACATTTGTAAAATTCATATTGGAAATACATCGAGGTGTATAACAAAGTAGTTTATACCGTTATAGTATAACAGAATTGAACAACACATTCGAATGACGCGCGCATTACTAGAAATTTCCACAACACCAGTCTGGCAGCCCTGTCAGAGTGTGTACTGCTATCCCCCTCGCACAATAGATGTCTGGCAACACAAGTGATTAAAAACAACATATACATATATGTATGTATGTATCTACATATGTAATACATATACATATGTATCTATATGAATGTTTGTAATTTGTGAATGAAAATTAGCCTGTCCAAATCAATAAACTCGATCTATAACCACATTTGAGTTTTAAAAAAACGCAAAATCATATTTAAATTTTGCCAGGCATATACATATATGTGTTATGTATACATATTTCAATCCACCCTAGAATGTGGTAAATTCTAGAACGAAAATTGTCAGCATTGGCAAGAGTATGCCAAGCAGACAATCAGTCAACACTAAGTAGTGTATTCACTCACTCTATTGATCGAATTGTATGGTACACAAGGGAGACAAATCGATTTCCCTAGAATCATCCAGAAGGCAGCAGCCACTGGGTATAAATAGAGGCGGACTACTCGCTTCGCAGTTATTCGAAAATAATAAGTGTTAAAGTGAAGTTCTCTAGTGAAAATAAAAAGAGTTTGAAAAGAAAATATTTCTCAAATAGTGCATAGTTGCTATATATAGAGATTATTCAACTGCAATGAAAAAGTGTGCAGAAGGTGTTGGAAGGGCAAAGCTGCGTAGCTATATTATGGCACGTCGACTGAAATAGTTGCTAGCGCTGTTTGAGCTTTTTGCTGTAAACAAGGAAAAGAAAATCTGCTCATCGTCATCGTCGTGGGCACTTTTGAGGCGTTTTCACATTGACGAAATGTTTTAACAGAAAATCAATGGCCAAGTTTTTTCCCGCATTCGGCTAGAGAAATTGCGATGTAGGCAGGCAAAGGCAGATGCCAGGAGCTCGTAATAAAATTGCTGAGACAGGCAAGAATTATAGCCAGACCCCCGGAGTGTATGTTGTCGTGACCTGGATTAGAGGAGTTTGGAGTTAGGAAGACAGGTATAAACCGAAACAGCGTAACCAGCTTTTTACTTGTTATACGTAAGCGTAAAATCTATGCATAAGGCTTAGTTTTATTTCCCAAGTATTTGCAATTTGAAGCGTTTATAAATGTGACGTCAGCGTAACTTTTGCATTCCAAAGTAAACGTTTATTCTCTTATATTGCAAATATTGTGTAATTCATTTTCTTCATACTGAATTGTACTGCGGAATACATATACATATGTACTTATTTCAAAGCTTCTAGAAGAATTTCTACCCCATGCAAAGTCATATTTTCTAGCTGTGCGTATTGTATGCACATATACATACATACTTTTTCGGTCACATCAAGCAAATTCTCGACTGTTCTTTGTTTAAACCCCTGAAAGAAAAGCAGCTGGCCTGCTCTCACATGTAATACCATTGTATTTGCATGTACATACAAAACTTGTATACACGTTTCCTATCTCGCTTGCCCTTACGCAGACGCCGTTACCGCAAGACGGCAAGACAGCAGCTGCAATATACTCACCTCGTGGTGGGCTGTTTGGCCCACCCATTTTCAAATGTATTTGTGTGTTTCCATCTCTTTCTATGCGTATACGTATACATAAGAATGACTACATCTCTAAGACGTTTTCTCCAACTGTCGCTTACAATTGGCAATTCTTTTAGTAACTAAACCATAAGTTCTTTAGTCGTTTAAAGCCTTAGTTGTTAATCTTATTTATAAACTGTCACTTTGATCATTGTTATACACGTTAACCAAGCAATATGTATTTCTTTCTCTAAACTTTATAGTTGGGCGTTGAAAGTTGATACGCGATCGAACTTGATCGCAATGCGTGAGAAAAAGCCTTACAATTAGCTCAAAATGCTGCTTGTTCGGTCCCATGTAGCCGTGAGAGTATATCTAAACTAAACTGCGACCAAATGTGTGTGTGTGTGTCGCGGCCTACACAGGGGTACTTAACATCGTTTTTATCAGATTGTGATTGCGTGGATTGAATATATATAGGAACCCGTATCGACTTCTCTGATCTGCTAAGACTTGTTCAAAAGAAAGGCGCCCAAATACATACGTTACGTTATATAAACGGTCGTCTATTCACCTACCATCGACCGTTATCTCAATACTGATCGAATAGATACAACACTACTGACATCGATCAATATACATATATATCTAGTATCTGGAGTAGCAACCGATTGTGCGCGTTCATTTAGCGCGAAGCATAAGCTGTAAAATCTACTTTATATACTTAATATATTTTTTCTTTGTTAACGGAAACATTTGCGAGCGCACAACAAGCGTGGCTAAACTCTTATAATACCTGAAACTGTAAACAAAAAACTTATTTCTTCTGTTTTTGTACAAATCCAAGATTTAAGAAAACTTGTCTATTCTTGTAATTACACTTGTCGAACTTATAGAAAATGAGAAGAAAAAAAAGAAAGAAAAATAATATGAAAAATAGCTCACCAAACAGAAAAGAAGCTACAAACAAAAAAGAATAAAAGAAATCTGAGATCAATAAATTTCGAAACAATTGCTCGCCATATTTTTATTTTAAGCTAAAATTCTAAACAATTTTCAGTCGAATCATCATACAAGCGGAGGAAGAGACACAGATCTAAACCTAAATAACCTGCAGGTTTATTCACAAAGTAATTAAAATCTAAGGAAGCCACACTTACATCTTTTTTCAGACATAGCATACACAAATCCTCTTGAACGGTATATATGAATACAAATCTTAAATATATCAACTCAGTGCAAATAATAATTTATATATTATATACATATAATATTGAGGAAATTTTAATCTTTAAACCACATTATTGAAAGTATCATATCTAAGAAAACATGAGTATGATGGAATGGCGTAATTCAGAATATTCTAAAACATCAAATTCAAAGTAAAAAATATAATAAAAATTAGATTTCAGAAACTATAAACCTTATTTGCACATTTTCTGAAGCTAAGAAATGAAACTTATAAGATTTCTAGTTTTTAGTTATCTCAGCTAATATTTATCCAACGTATTCGAGTTAATATAGCAATATGTACTCCTACATATATGATGTTTAAATAAAGTCGAAATTTTAACAATTTAAACCATACTTTTAACGATTTTGCACAATTCTCGACAATGAAGTCATGAAGCTCTTAAATCTTTAGGCTGCCGTTGATTGGTTGTAAAATTTTATCAAGATAGAATTTTGCCCCCTAAGAAGAATTTGCTAATTTTCAATGCAAATCTTACACTTCCGAACGCAATCGTTACTAAAATATAGACCTTCAGCATCATCAAACAAAAATAATATAAATTTCTACGTGAACCTACTTAGCTACGGACACAATAGTAAGAAAATTTCCACAGATACTGAAAGCAATGTAGTCTACACATCAATCCGAAAAAACCTCCCAAAGTTCTTCAAGAAGATATTTCAAACTATTCCAGTCGAAATTCACAATATCCTCAATCAGGTAATCATTTGTAAAACTTCAAATCTGTATAAGCACACGTTCAATCGAGCGAATATGAAAAAGGAAAATTTGTTTCTTTTTTTTTCGAAGGAGGTTCGCGTGAAAATACAAAAATGCTGCCTATTGCCGGCAGGTATGACACGAAAAAAAAAACGGATTTAATAGCTAATGCTATTACATAGCCTAAAGAAGTGGGCTTTTTCCAAAACCTGCGTTACAAAAACGGCTCGTACAATAGTTGCCTAATAACAAAGAGTATATATTAACGAATATATACTTGAAGTACAAAATCTATTTGCTGTGTGGTATGCAGACAGTACAATTAACCAAGTGTAAAACAATTTATAGGTGCTTTCAAAAAAATTGACTACTGGTAGTAAAATTCCTTATACACATAAACTGGGAATAATGGTATACATAATTTACCATATTATGGAACACTAAAACACTGCGTAAAACTAAAAAGAGTGTGATGTGTGATTTCCCTATTAAATAATACATTAAATCAACGAAAATCTACGGTGTGTAAAAACAGAAATAACGAGATGCGAAAAGTTATCGAGAACGTATGAACATATAACTTCCCTATTAGGTAGGAGGTACACAAACACTGCGTACACCAAGAGTGTGTGTGAATATATAATTTCCCTTTAACATGGTACACTTAATCTACGTAAAACGAAAGACATTACCCCTATTAGGTAAAAGGTACAAGAACACTGCGTAAAGCTAAAGAGTGGTACGCTAAGACTACGAAAAAACTAAAGTGTGTGAAGACATTATCACCCCATTAGGTAGGAGGTACACAAAACGCTGCGTAAAACTAAAAAGAGTATGATGTGTGATTTCCCTATTATATGATACACTAAACCAACGTAAATCTACGAAGTGTAAATCATAAATGCACTATGAGATGCGAAAAGTTATCGAGAACGTATGAACATATAACTTCCCTATTAGGTAGGAGGTACACAAACACTGCGTACACCAAGAGTGTGTGTGA